ACCGGTTCGGTAGATTTGACGAACTGGTTCTACTGAATAGGTACGAACTGGTAGGAACCCACCTCTGGCGTGCAGCATGCGAGTAGCATGCGCATGTGTACTTACCATCCGCGATGCTCCAGCTGCTCGGCGGAGCGTCACACAGGCGCTGGACACTCTGTGTCCGTGCGCGGAAGCCCCGATCGGCTCAAAAGAGGTAAGGATGGCGGGCAGTCAGGTGGGCCCTCCAGAGCACCGTACTTGAACGGTACCTGGTGCTCCCAGCAGGCACCGGTCATATCCCACCACTGGTTCTCATAGGTATAATATTTGACCTGCAGTACTGCAATTATTTTCCTGGAAACATACGTGTTTAGGATTACATTTATAGCACAAAGATGCATGTATATGGGTATATGTCTGTAATACATGATTGACAAACATTTAATGTTTTCATTGATTAAAAGATGCCCCTGAATAATCAAGAAGCAGATTAATCTGGTGAGTTATTAATCTACTATCTGATTAAATATTAATTGCTCTAGATGGAAGTACTCACAAATCTTAAAAGTAGATAGCATTTTTAGAATAGATACTATTCCTCTCATTGAGCTGGGAATATTTTCCCCAATCTCGAGCCAGCTCTGGCAGGGAGCTTTTTTCAGCTAAGCAGTATTGTTTCCTACCCTATCCATTTTCTCTGGATACCTGTATCCATTTTCCTAAGCTCCATAGGAGTGTGCGATTTTGACCAGAATTGATTAATAAACCACACAGAGAGATTAAGGTACTCGTAAGTGACCAACAGCTTGAATTTCCTCAGCCAAGTTCTCTATCATGCTGTCTAATTCTCAGCATCATCGGAGCTGTTTTTAGGATTTTGTTTAAAAGTCCAAATATAGGGGGTGAGATCCCTCTTAGTCCTGCCAAACTCTCTTCCACAATATTTTCTCAAGCACAAACAGCCTCAACCTTTCTGTAGGATAAGTGGTTGACTTAGAGAAAAGATTAGAAAAACATAACAGGGGGAAATAAACAACAGCAACAAGAACAAGTGGATAACAGGAATTTGAACGAGCTTGGTCATTCTGGAGTGAGGGACTGATTGCAGCTAAAGCATTTGCTTTATATAAAAATAAACCCTCTAGAGATACGTAAGCAAATCTATTCTCTTCTTTTTTTAAAGCGGTTTACTGCTGGAAGAAATTGGAGGCAGTAATATTCTTCCCCACCATCTTCCTACGGAAATATGATTCATCACAAGAAAACATCTTTCCAAGTCTCACAATGCATCCATGGAGAGCATGACAGAAGGAGAAAGATAGCTGCTGTCATTTTCCTGAAATAATAGGGTTTGTTTTTAAAATACTGAAAAAAATGGGAAAGTTAAGAAAAAAGAGAAACGTCTAAGCCTCACTACCCCAAATTTAACTTTCTATGCCATCATCTAGCCAGTGTGTCTGAAATCATATAGGAACTTTCTCAGTCAGGTGCAAAAATGGGGAAGCCTTTGCAACATGATATGGCCAGGTTTTTTTTTTTNGAGCAGCAGGAGGTGTGGTTTCCAAGATTTCCTCAATCTCCAATAGGCAAGCAGATTAGGTTAATATCCGATGGTTACTCCTCCCACACTTCTCGTTGAAACATGCAGTTCAGGTAAATCCAACTGCCATTTTCACAAATAAAATGAGTATGTTTCTTCAATGGGATATTGAGATTGAATTTTGCCACCAACCAATTTTGTCACCCTCTGTTTTTCAGGCCAGCATTAACAGTACGATGAGTGTTTACAGTGAAACTGGGGACTATGGAAATGTGAATATTAGTGGTGAAATTTGTCTGCAAATTAGCTACAGCTATAAAACAGGAGCCCTTAACATACTTGTAAAAAAATGCAAGAACTTGGCCATTGCTGATGAAAAGAAACAAAGAACAGATCCGTAAGCAAATCTCATTTTTTAAACTAAAGTTCTATTTATTTATTTACTATCCTAGTTATGTTTGCTTGTTAGATTTGTTTTCCACAGAATATCAAATGCTCACATTTGGATTGGAGTTTGAAAAAAGTGAAAGACAGCATGAGTTTCTCCCATCTTCTTATTGAAGCTTTACTTTAAATGAGATAAGAGAAATGTCATCTTTAGTCCTTGAAAAGTTTGAGAAAATACAGTTGCTTCTAGTGAAATCTAGAATTGGCTCGGTGAGATGGGCTGCATAGAAGTTTAATAATAAAATTAATCAATCTGGAGATGGTGAACTGGTATGAATATTTTTCCAGTTTCATAACTTCAGTGCTACAATGCCTGGGAGAAAAAGACTTAATTTTGGTGAAATGAAAAACCCATGTTTACCATTAAATGCCTTGTGCTGGTATTCTTACTTCTCTTTTTTTATCCAAAAGACTTTCCAATTAAAAAATGCAAATTTAAGTTCTGCTTATCAGCTGACCATAATTCTCTGCAATTTTGTTCTGGCATGTGTAGTAGTGTGATTCAGTAACAATAAAAATGAACCAGAGTTGAACAATTCTTTTGTTCTTTTGTTTTTCTCTACAATTATAACTGAAAAAAACACAATCAATTTAAGGAAGAAGCTGGATTTTTCTGTCTTCTCCTGCCCAAAAAGTAAATGATGGGGAAAATGAGAGGATTATAGCTTTTCTTCCACATTCTCTTGCAAATAATAGAAGGCTCTTCAGGAAGTGATTTCTTTCAGTGCAGTAAGACTGGAGAATGAAAGAAAAATTCTTATGAGTCTTTTGTGGTATAATTGTTTCCTTCCTTCTTTGTTTTCTATAAGTGAAAGTAATTCTGGGTACACTGAAGCCTCTTGTACCTGCCTAAGGACAAATGGTAGGAAGGAATGAGGATAAGGAATAAAAGGCTGAGTAGTAAGGCAGAAACTTTCCACAGCCCTAAAGTTCCAGCCAACAGGCTTCTGCAAGCTACATTTAGCAATGATAATTTATTACATTCTGAAAAATAGACTGCATGCCTTGTCTTAATAATGGATGGAAACTGAACAAGGAGAGATTCAACCTGAAAATAAGGGGAAATTTTCTGACAGTGTGAGCAATAAACCAATGGAACAGCTTGCCTTGAGAAGTTGTAGGAGCTTCATCACTGGAAGCTTTCAAGAAAAGACTGGCCTGTCATATGTTAATCTGTTAAAATATTTCTCAAGGGTCTTGAGAAGAAATAATGGAAAAGATCATCACTCTCCAGTCTGGAATTATGACTTTCCCAGCTACATGTAGTTGGTCATTGTGAGACAAAGAATAGGCTGGACCTCACAGAGCTTCTTTAATGTTAGTTTGTAGTGAATCGAATCTTTGAAGAGTAACAGTTCTCCAGCCTCTACTTTGCATTGTTTGTATGGAATTCTGTGTTTCAATAGATTTCTGCCTGCATATTTCTGGTGTTAGCACATGGAAGTAGGTAACAAATAACTTTTGGGGAGTGTGTGTGTGTACACTCTTGCTACATAAAATGGACAAAAATATCTGATGTGTCACAACACATGAGAGAGCAAGTATAGTATAAAGTATAACCTTTCTGATGTCTGTGATTTAATTTTGACAGTGTTATACATAAGAATTTTCTGTATATGGACATCTACATGTCTGTATACCAATATTGTAACTTTTAGCAAAATTGATAAATCATCTATTATTTATTCTGTAGTTATGTCAAAGCATATCTTCTGCCAGACAAGTCTCGCCAGAGCAAAAGAAAGACAAAAACCAAAAGTAATAGCACTGATCCAGAATTCAATGAAATGCTTAAGGTAAGGTAGACCTACAAGGTCCCTTCCAACACTGTTAATCTGTATGATCTGTAAATTTCTATTGTTTCTGTGCTGATTGCATTCCCACGGTTTTGTTATCGCAACTAAGTATTCATCTGTTAAATTGCTATTGGCTCTCTGCCCAGAGCTATTAGCTGATGGAAGAAGAAAAACCCTCTCTTTCACTTTATTTCCCCCCCCCCACCTTGAGTTTTAAAGGGGCTAGAATTTTCCTGCTGACGAAATGGCTATGCTGTTATTTCTTCTTTTTCTTTTCCTTTCCCTTTGGTTAATTACAAATGAGCAGGAATGTCTGAGCTGTGTGTGAGCTACTGGAATTGTTAGGCTGGGAGGCAGGCAGCCTTGACTATTTAGCTGGTCCGCAGAACTCCACAAATGTAGTATTTAGGGTCCCGAGGCTGAAGATGAAATAATGTAATCCACCCACAGATAGCTGAACCAACAGAAGTTTATTGAACAAAGCATTCCATAGATAGCAGAATCAACAGCATGAAGCATTCCATGGATAGCAGAATCAACAGCAAAATTATTAATCATGAAACATCATTCTTATAGTGTTTGCAGCTTCTTAGTTCTCACCTACTTTACGTGTTATATCATTATTGGTTAACAAGTCTCCAAGGCACAATAATTGGTTAGTCATTACATCATTGGTGTTCCTGAGAATGTGCATGTCTCACACACTGAATGAATCAAGTGTTATCATTCAAATGAGTAAAATGTTACAGGTTTACTTTGTATCATCATCCCGTGTACTTGTTCATGCCTGGGAAACACACTGCAAGCAAAGAATGGCTGACAAACAAATATTTTCTGCAGATTGCTGCAGTTTGTACTTTGTAACCTCAGTTCTAAGGACCATTCCGATGATGCACTGTAAAAACATTACACACAAAGAGTTAACAAATGGTTGTCTTGAACTGGTGCGAACCGGCTGAATCACACCACTGGCTGCACAGTACCTGCATGGTAAAGATGTCCTTGAGTTGATCTGTGTTTCTGATGACTCTGTGGACATGTCCAACTAGTTTTTGGTTTGTGCATGTAAGTGATTTGTTCCTACTTTCCTCAGGAATGTTTTTCAACTTCCCATTCTAGCCTTCAGTCCTGAGTTTCCTTGACATCACCCATCCATGTGCCATGTGACTATTGGTTTCAGTCCACTTTGTCTAGACACTTTTGAACTTTCTGTTTTATCTAAAGCCACTCTCCAATATTTGCATCATCCAGAAAACCTTGTGTCATCCAGTTCCATCATCTCAGTCATTGATAAACATTTTGAATTGCATACAGTCAATAACAATCACTCTGGCATTCCACTTGATTCTTCTCTCCAAGATGAAATGAGATTGTTCAGCCAACTGAGCCCATCTAACAGTAGTATCTTCTACTCCATATTTTCCATTTTTTACTTATTTAAATTTTTGTGTCATCCAATTCCCAAACAACTATGGATGGTCTTTTTATTAAGAAAAATATATACCATGAGGAACTCTATCAAAGGCTTTGCTGAGAACCTGAGAACATTCCCAATCTACTGAGCTGCAGTTCTATTATTAAAGAAGGAAATATGGTTGATTGGCACAAATTGTTTGCAACAAAACCACACTAATTTTTGTTTGCAACAAAACCATATTGCTAATTGCAGTATCCAAGTGCTCCCCGACATGAAGTTGCATTCAGAAGTTATGGGAGCTTCATCACTGGAGGCTTCCAAGAAGAGACTAGACTGCCATCTGTCAGAAATGGTGTAGGGCCGTGATGGCAAACCTATGGCACTCATGCCAGAGATGGCACACAGAGCCCTCTCTGTGGGCACACGTGCTGTTGCCAGCTGTTCTTCTGGTTTCCGGCTGGTCTTCACAGGGGCCAGAAAATGGCCTGAAGACAGCCAAAAAACAGGCCATTTTCAGACTGTTTTGGGGCCATTTTCTGGTTGTTTTTCTGGCCATTTTTTGGGTAAAAAACAGCCAAAAAAATGGCCACAAATGGCCAAGAAACAGGCATGTGCAGGCCAGCTGGCTGGTTTTCAAGTTTCCGGTGCTCCGGTGTTCTCACATCCACACACATTCCAGTTTGGACACTCAGTGCCCAAAAGGTTCACCATCACTGGTGTAGGGTCTCCTGCTTGGGCAGGGGGTTGGTCTGTATGTTCCTTTATAATTTGTTAGAGAACCTTGCCTAATGTAGACATTCAGCTGACACTCCCATGCACTTCCTGGGCATTTTTTCTCATTTATTTATTTAAAGGAGAATATTTGTAGCTTGGGGTTGAAATGAAGAGTTCTTGGTTCTCTCTGAGCTCAGAGAGCATCAAGGACTTCTCATTTATTTATTTATTTGCTTTTTTTAAAAAGGGTTTTAAATTATATAATTCAAGAAAGATTAAAAAATGTGAAACACTTGTGGAATTTAAAGAACAACTTTCTCAATAAAAAATACTTTTACCATTTTTGGAGAATTTAACATCACCATTTTATTTTCTATTTTAATAATGAGTAATGTTTATTTTAATAATGAATGTTTATTTTAATAATGAATGTTTATTTTAATAATGAGTAAAATCAATATATGTACAGGAGGAGATGGAAGAACTATAGTTTAAGACATATAACATTTTCAGGAGAAAAATTGCATTTTATGCATTTCACCTTCATAATTTGAATTGCAGGAAGGGAAAATATTGCATCATTTATTATCTGTTAATACCTTTGGATATACTTAGAAGTTCCATACTCTTACTTACTGGTTCCTAAAAATATTTTCCTTAAAAATATGCTCCTTTTTTATCCCCACTCAATAGTATGTCATTAGCCACACGCAGCTTGAGACTCGTACTCTACAACTTTCTGTCTGGCATTATGACAGATTTGGGCATAACAGTTTTCTGGGAGAAGTAGAGATTCCCTTGGACTCCTGGAACTTTGAAAATCAAATTGATGAATGCTTCATGCTTCAACCCAAGGTGAGAAGGTCCTGTTGGTTTAGAGAAGTAGCATGCAAATTTATGAAGAAGTTAGAATTCATGCAACAAAAAGAATTGACAACAACCTAGGCTTTTCTTTACACTAGACAGCATTTTGTTTGTAAACACCAAACTGTACAAATAGGCAACTGGGGGGAAATAACTTCATTTGCTTTGTGAAGTTGAAGGCAACTTAGCTGAAAGATGGATCCACTGTATAATGTTCTTTGAGTTTTGAAATTAAAGCCATCACAATAATAAAACTACTGAGGAAGTATTGCATATCCCACAAAGGTTGTATCCCAAAAAGTCTGTATCAAATTACAGATGCCAATGTTTCCCTGCAGCTTGGACAGATCNCATAGTTTTCACCATTGCAGATATATTCCATGTTCCTTCTCCATTTTTCCATATCTTGCATTAGATTACCCTTAAATTGTCTATAAATGACAAACCTTGCTGTTCAATGTTCATTGCAATTCCCTTAATCTATTATGTAGAATAACAGTAAAGCAGTAAACATCTACCTTTATTCATCATCTTAAAAGTTCTATATATATCCATGTTTCATATATTTTAACCCATGTTTAGTTATCCTTCTGTTGTCATTTTCAGTCAATTTGCAAGTCAGTTTAATTATCATGTATAAAAGTGAAACACAAACCTCTGCTTTACAACCTCCCCGTATCAGTTTCATATTATCCATATTCCATATATTTTGGCCTTTTTTGTTATCTTTCCATTATTATGTTCAACCAGTTAGCAACTCCACTTTATTATCATATTTAGGAATAAGACCCTTATCTTGCTTTATATTTTCCCCTATCTAGGGATTTTTTCCTAGTAAGTCTTTTGTCCCACTTCTCTGTTCCTGTCTTCCTTAATCCAAGTAATTTGAAACCAGAAGAGAAGCTGACACCATCTTAATCTTTTGCAGAAGAGAGGGGGAAAAAAGAAGAGAGACGAGAAGAAAAAAGAAACCTTCGTATTTCCCAGTTCTTGAGTGCGATGTTTTATTCTTTCCTTTAATAACTGCTCAAAATAAATCATTTGTAGCAAGCTTGTAATCAGCCAAGAGTTTTTTGCCTCCTTCTAATTTATGGCAGTTGGTTAATTAAAACTTCCCACACAGTCAAGGTTAAGTTATCCATTATCAGTAAGAAGACGTGCTTTTTTCTTGTTTATATTAACTGAGAGGAATTCAAACAAAGTAAAAGTAAACCCTTTGGGATCCAAAACCAAATTTAAAGTTTATAACTGTGTGGGTTTGTCACTTCTCTGCTTTCTATCTTTCTGTCAGCTCCGGCCAGCCCAAAGGCCTGGAGCTGCCATTCAGGGGAGAAGACTGGGCCAGCTGCCAAGAGTCACCATCCCAGAACACAAGCTGAAGAAACTCCTGCTAATAATCCATGATTAATTGCCGGGTGGTTTCACTCTGGGTCACAAGGTGATGAGTGTGCGCACGCGCAGGGTGTGGCTTATCTTGATTACCAATGTAGCTATAAAAGGTGGTGGGAAGCACAGGGTGGCAGCTCTGACAATTTATTCATTGCCTTAGTGCTTTGTTGGTCAGTTCATGTCGAAGGAAGAATAAAAACTACATTTACAAACCGTTTATGTGTTTGCCTGGTTTCATTAACCCTTCGGAACCTGACACCTTCTGTCCGAAACTGTTACAAACAAAGAGCTTCTGGGGGGACTGGTGTTACAACCCTCCACCTTCCTGTTTTCCTTTTCTTTTGGAGAAAGAAAGTCCCGATCTGACCATCAATATTATTTATGTTCTCAAATTCTTTTTGCCTTTTCCAGGTTTAATTTATAGTCGTGGGTTAAATAAATTTTCTTACCCGGCCTTTCAGCTCTTCCATTCCCCTCCTGTTCCAAAATTATTTTGACAAAAAGCCAGCTCTTGTCAGCCATGTTGAAGGCTGCCGCCCCGACGCCGATTCATAGGCAAATCTCTGACCTTCGAGGGATCTGTTGCTTCCCTCTGGGTCTGATGAGACGCTGCCCCTCTTCCAGGGAGGTTCTGCTCCAAAAAAGGAACACCAGAGTAGGTTTGTCAGACAGTGTTCATGTGGGGCTCTTCAGAGCTCACATCCCCCACATCTGTCCAGCTGAGGAACTTCCTGTCGAATCCCGTGTACATTACTTTTAATTCCTCATTTCCAACAGTTTCATTCTTCCTGTTTTAAACGAATCCATACAAGTGCATATTTTACAAAAAACATATTTCACAGTTAGCAACGGTTCAGCAGAATTACAAATATTTCTGGTAAAGTTTGAAATCATCCTAGCTGAAAACTTTAGTTCATATCTCTTTCTTCTGGGGCCTTCTATTATCCATAGGACTCATTGAATCTAATAGATCAATAGGCTATATTTCTTGGTTCTCACACACTTAAATCTCAGCCTAACACAGGTTTATATATTTTGCTCTGTTGGAAGAAATGTCCTCCTGGGTTCAGTTCCAAGTGGGGAAAAAGACACTGGATTAATGGAGGCTGATTGGAAAGATGGTTTTAATGGTGGACAGGATCACATGCCTTGAAGACGTTGGGTGAAGAAAAAAAAGGGAAGAGATGCTGAGAGTCCCTGAGTTTTATACGCTCTCTGGGTTTTTGAATTTGAGCTCGTATTCTGATTGGTTGTCAGACTCCCATGAGGCCATGCAGGGGCAACTCTGTAAGCTGTCCTGAGTCCCAGGCTTGGTTGAGCCTTGCTGGATGATGTAATCTTCCCAGGTGCCATGTGGTGAGATGAGTAGAGGGATAATCCTATCATGTCCTGAGGGCCATGTCTTAATCCTATCACCGTGGAGCTGGGGGAGGGGGGGGGAGCTGCAGGAAGCTGCTTTGTCTTTAAAAAATGTTTCTCCATTTCTCATCCAGGGAAACTTAATATTCTGCCTTTTTAATATTAGCTAGAATATTTCATTCTTCTAGGAGAGGGATGGGTGCTAACTTCCTACATCTCACCAGAATGGAGATTATCCATTCTGGAGCCATTGCTGAATATCCCCTTTTGGTCTTTCGAAAAGTGAAGATACTTAATTGTGGCTTCCAACTCTTAAATATTATCCATCCCTTAATTAAACTCATGCACAGTGTTCATTTTTGGTGGATAAGAATTTAATTAATGCAATTCAGAATTGCATTCATAACAAACCAATGCAATTAAGAATTCCATTGAATTCTCATTCCAATGAGAATTGTAGATGTTCTAGATCAGGCATGTCCAACCTTGGCAACTTTAAGACTTGTGAACTTCAACCAACCAGCTGGAGAATTCTGGAAGTTGAAATCCTCAGATCTTAAAGTTACCAAGATTGGATATCCCTGTTCTATATCATCATGAAATCCAAGATCAAATTCCAACCATTACTCTTGGTTAATCTAAGCAAAACATTCATTAATTGCCTCCTATTACAGGTAATTTATTAATGAAAAATCCAATTGTCCTTTCAAGAAATTGTAATAAACTCTTGTAGAATACTTGATTTATCCATTGTTTGCACTACGTTCCACAGCCTGAAGCAGCTGGTCCTTCCTCTATATCTCAAAAATCTTGGCCTCTGTTGTCTCCCTTCTTTTTACCAAAAGATCGTGAAGTCCTGATGAAGGAAGCAGAGTTGGAAAAAGCAGACTTCATCAAGCGTTTGGAAGAAGCATCTAATCTTTTTGTGAAGGAAAGTAGGTGCCTTCTGTTTCCTTCTCACAAATTCTTCAATTTCTGTTCATTCAGAAAGCAGTCACGTGCTGAACCCGATCATTGATCCTTCTAATACAAAACTATCATCTTGTGAAGAACAGATCTTTTAAAACATTAGCCAAACTACAAGATCTAGCCTTCGAGAATACAGATGACTGCCAAATGGATAAAACAGATCCCTTATGATACCGGTTTTTGCATCAACTCAGCTCTG